TTTTTCCGGCTTTTTCATGTATACTAAAATGCAAAACATCAATTTCAAGTTATATTAACATAAATAATATTCATATTCATAACACAAAATGCACATTAATTGAGAAAAATAGATTTTTTTATTTTTTTAAGTTTTTTCACAATATGTACAAAAATGCAAAGTGATGGACAGAAAATATATAAACTGCGGGTATGATTTTTTATTTTTTTTTAATCATGGTCAGTATGTCATGGAAGTTGCAAAATTGGACTTGAGTGCGAATAAAAAAGATCATACGCATTTTTTTTGCAGTGAACGCATATATGCATTTGAGGGATGAGAGAGAAAGCCACAAACCCATTTTGCGTTTCCTTTTGCAGTTCGATTGAAGAAATTTTACCCCATTTTTTGTGTTTTGGGTATCGGTTGGAGTAGGTCTTAACTTGTGCACTAGCTTTGGGTTGTACTTCTAGCCAAATTTTGCTGTCTGTTTCACAAAAATATTATACTTTATATATAAGATGAATATATAAATGGAGATAAGGGCTTTGTTTATTATAAGAGATTTATCTGTCATTGTTGACAATTCTCCTGGCATAGTGCTAATAATGGACTAGATCAAAATGGCTCAATTAAATTCTAGTGCTTCTTCTATTAGTGAAGTTTCTAGAAAAAAAAAATATATCAAACGGCGCAATGCGCCTTGGGTTACTATGGAAACAACCTTTTTGTATAATTACAAGGGTAAGGTCTGCGTACAATTGACCCCCCAGACCCCAACCTGTTGGGAATATACTGGGTATGTTGTTGTTTGTTGTTGCAAGCTCTGGATAAATACATGGTGTTTGTAAGAGGCGACTATGGGAGGATCGACTCGTCATATTTCTTAAAACGAAAATGCATATTTATACTAGGAAATATCAGACTTTTGTTTTTGTTTTTTTTTTCTTTTGTTTTTTTTAATGCATAAACAGCAGGTCACGGCGAACCTCTGTACCCATCCGGATTTTGAATTGTTTTTCCAAATTCTCCACCTTGTCGTTAGATGCATAATCCATTCTAGTAAACATTAAAATTCACGGGTCCATGAAATTACCATGTCAGATGCATAATTACAAAATAAAATTTAGCCTGTAAACATCCGTTCTAGTGCTGCATTTCCTTTTTGTAGCTAATCCGAAAACATTAAAATTCACTGGTCCATGAAATTACCATGTCGGCAATGACGGCCAGAGCAGACTTCGGTCCCGCACTGAAAGCCAAGCGAAATTGCGGACGGATTCAAAGAGTACTGCAAAACCAGAACACAATTGGCCGAATGAGAAGAAGAAAAAAAGAAAAGAAAGGAATAGAGAGATGAGAGAGAATAGAAGGAGAGTTAATATATAAAATCCGGTGTAATTTGTCTCCTTCCCTAATTAATAGATAAGTTGACTTAAATTTAAATTCTAGTATATATGCAATTATGTTGGGGTGATTTTGTATCTTTACAAATAAATATTAATTAAGTGTAAATGTGTAATATAAAATATATTTGATAGTATGTGGTGTAAATTCCTCTTAAGATTTTGATTGATATTTAAATACATTGTGACTGAAATTTGTAAAACTTTCCGATTTTTTATTTTTGATATCTCAGTAAGTCTACGAAATCCAAATAAACCCAAGTGATAAACAAATTCTCTCTCATGAGAGCGAAAAAATTCTCTTCCATGAGAGCGATTTTTTCCTTTGATTCCCCAATCATCGTCTTTTGTCTCAAGGATTTCTTTCTGCTCTCGATTGGTCCAGGGTTAATTCAGTGGTAGTTAAAGTCGTTGATATCCGTTTTCTCATCTGTTCCTCTTTCCCCTTTTTATTTCACCTTCATCGATTAGGGCTTTACATTATGTCTGAGGATTCTCATATCAATCAAGATAGCGATCTATCTGATCGTCTAAAAGCTTTCTCCCTCTCAGATTGGGAAGCTAAAATCGTTGATATTGCCCAAGAAGATATTCGTTTTAGCGACGATGAATGTCAAAGAAGTCTTTTTGGAAAGATCATCGGAGACCGCCCAGCTAGTTGGATAGGAATCCGACGCGCAATGTCTCAAATTTGGAAATTAAGTCATCCAATGGAAGTTAAGGAGCTCAGCCCTAATTATTTTCAGTTCATCTTCGAAAATCTTGAAGATAAAAAGAAAGTAGCAGCAGGAACAAATTGGAGTTTCGAAAACCAGTACGTTATTCTCCGGGAATGGAAGTTCATAATATTCCTTTAAACTGGGTCAGCTCTGAAGTGGGTTTCAAAATAGGGAAAGCTTTCAAGAGTCTGAAGAATGTTGTGGTAGCATCAATTGGCAATCATGGGGGAAAACTTTTGCGGCTCCTGGTCACTCTGGATACAGAGGAGCCCATTCCTAGAATTCTCAATATCCGGTTGGGTGATCAAGTAGTTAATGTCATGTTCAAGTATGAAAAGCTTCTGAATCTCTGTCACTATTGCAGCAAAATAGGACACCTAGACCGTTCATGTGCTAGGAAGATGGAAGATGTTGCAAACAACTCGATGAAAGAGGGACAGTACGGTGACTGGTTGAAGGCTGCAGAAGGCCAAAGATGGTCTCCTGGAAATTTCTCAGGAAATAGATCCTCTCCTCCGAGGGAATCTCCCTCTATGGCTGAGAATCATACTGCTCAAGATGTATCATCTAGTCCACCTATCAACAGTCGCCATCTAATTCAGAGTACAGGGAATACCTCATCTCCAGCCAAGTATTGTTTCTATTATACAAGCCCCTATTATAGAGGAAGACATTGTGGATATCAATCTTCAGATGGTAGAATCTCCAGGCGATTAGGTGGTTGAAGAAATTGAGGTGGCCAGATAATATATTAGTTATTTTACAAGTTAGCTCTAACATGCTCATATTTAATGTTCTGGCTAAAAAATAGTTCATTAAAAGATGTGGATTATAACCCTATTGTCTTTTAGACTTAACGCTGATTAAAAAATGTGGAAAATAGATGATAACCCTATTGTTTTTTAGACTTAAACGAATAGAGCCTGCTAAAATAACTCATTTAATATTTTTGTCCCGTCCATCGCACGGGGTACGTACTAATAAGAGAATAACCATTTTCAGAAAATAGTAGCAAAAAAATCTGGGTACATTTAATGCATACCTTATTTGAAATTTTTTAAAACATATGCATTAATTGCTTTCATATACACATTTCCAAATTAGATATGATCAAAAAAATTATTTTCTTAATAATGTTATTAACATCTGCAATAATTTTATTGATATCCAATTATCTATTATAATAAACTATGATTTGAATTTTCCTGATTCATGTTGATAATATTGGTCAACATAAACATGAAAATATATTTTAAGTCTTAAGCATATTATTAAATATTTTTCACAAATGTTGACTTTCATCCTAAATTATTTATAAATAATCATAACATGTTAAATAATTTTCTCATTCTTACTAATTAGGCGAAATCAAGTTGGTGAATTAATACCGATAATATTTTTTAACCTTTATTTAATTATATAAAAATTAATAATTTTTTTCAAATTAAAATAATTTACTATTTAAGAGATAATGATCACATCATTAAATAATTTTACTAATAGTCAGATAATAAAACTAAAATATATTAACTATTTTTTATAATTTCAACATGTGATTTATTT